TAAAAAAATGACAATCAATCCATGGTTACTGCACTTTTACTATAGTAAAACCATTGTTAATTTCCGTATTTCCATAAGGGAAAATGTATGTCCTGACAGAAAAGTATCAGTACATTTTACTCTTTTTTTCAAGTATAATCATATGCTACAGTTACACAAATATCCTTAAATGTAAAATGTACTTAAAATATGCCTTGATGAACTCTAATTCTAAGAGGATAATGGAAGTTTCTGCTGTGAATGTGACTACTAAATATAGACTATACATGCTTCAAAGTAGCTAACACTACTTATTACGGCCTTCCACATGGCCGCCGATGTTGGTGGTAGAAGTGAGCGAGTAATTGACGCGTACAAATTAAATCCATGCACTGATGTTAAAATGCTTTCAGTGTCCTTTATTTTGCTTCAATCACAACCAATAAACAGCTCGCTTCCTGTAAGCTGTCCTTTCAGTTCATGACATACCAACTTGAAGTTCATACCTTGTAGACAGAGCAAATACATTGTCCATAGTCCATATTATTCCTTGCACGATTATGCTTCAAGTTCGGTCCAACACAATATAGACAGTTGACACAATAAGTTAGTGCACAGGATAATTTGGAGCTGTACGCTCAATCGGTCACGGTCAAAAACTGTTTGCTTTCCTGCCATCCAACCTCCCATCCCATTAGCCAGGTGCTCTTAATATAAAAGTATCACAACGCCTCCCCATGGACAAAACACATATTGCATTAAAATGGCTCCTAAACTACTGTTTACATGTAATATGAAAGATAATAAGCAAAAGAAATGTAATAACTCTTCATTATGTTATGTGCAGGAAAAAAAACACAAACTTCTGCGGAGAGTAATGTTCACGCTGCGCTGTTGTAACTGATCAGCGCGGACACTGCAATACCGCGCTGTTTCATCCCACTTTTGAGTAATATGGCTTCCCATAGTACTATATGAGTGGAGCTGCCGCTCGGGGAGGAGGAGGCAAACGCAGCTGACCTAGACGCGCGGGCACGTAGAAGTGACACTCTAGTAAAGGGAACGTTGTTATTTAACTTTAACAATGCAATTTTATATAATGGATACGGGTTGTAAGGCTTTTCTCTATACTCCAAATTAAATAAATACATTTGAATTAATTAAAATAAAACTCTTTAAAAATTAGGGACAGTGTATGTAAATTCAATATGATGTATTTTGAATTTTGCACTGCATTG